CCCCCCCCCCCCACCTTTAAGCTCATTTTTCAAAATTTTAAAGCAAAAAATCAACGAAATTTGGGAATTTCATGTTACTGAAATTTTTTAAAATTAATTTTAGCTGAAAATAATCGAAAATTTGGTGCTTTTGAAGGAAAAAGGAGTTTAAATAACCCATTTTGGAAAATAATCTGAAAATGTTAAAAAATCAATATTTCAAGAATATTTTCAGCAAAAGTCATAATTTTGTTGTTTAAAAATCAAATTTTACAGATTATTTTCAGCCAAAATTGATTATTTTTCTCAAATTTCACTTCTTTTTGTTCAGCAAAAAATATAAAAATTTCAAATTTCGCCAATTTTTTCGCCTTGAAAACCTTGAAAAATGAGCTTTAAAAAACCTGAACTTCAAGGATTTTTCAGCCAAAATTATTGATTTTTTTTTGGAAAATTCGAATTTTCAGATTATAATTTCAGCGAAAATCCTTTAAAAAATCAATAAAAGAGCCATACTTCACTGCTCGAATCGCCAAATTCACCGGGCAACGAAGAAATCCAAACGAGGTGGCGTTGGGGAACAAACGAGGGTGTTTCTGGAAGAAAAAATGTGTAATTTCAGCAGAAAATTCGATTTTTGGGCTCTAAAAATGTCAAATTTGCTCTAAAAAACCGAAAAATTCAAATTTTAGACTTGAAAACATCCCAATTTTCACCATTTCAGGTCTCAAAATCTCAATTTCACACTAAAAATCTCAAAAAATCCGACCTCCGCAACCATATCCTCGAACATTGTGATTGAAAAATCACAACTATCCAGAAGGACCGATTCGACGTTGGGTAGCTCGAAGACTTGGACGTCGTCGACCTGAAAATCAATTGTTTTTTGAATTTTTTCAAAAATTAAGGGATAAATTACATTCGAAATTGTCAAATGGCGGAGATTCGTGAATTTTGTGAGCACTCGCTGAAGATGTGAATCCAAACTGACAAAATTGAAGATGCGCAGGACTCTGGAATATTTGAATTTGTTGGAATTTTCAAATTAAAAAACTGGAAATTCTGTTTTTTAGCTCTGAAATTCGGAATTTTCCGATTAAAAAAATATGAAAATTTATAAATTTTTTGTGTTTATGTGTTTCCAGATGTCCCAAAATTGTCAAAAATCGATTTTCCGACATTTTTGAGCCAAAAATTGAGAAAAATAGTGATTTTTACCAAACACTAAGGGAAAATTACCATTTCTTGTCTGAATTTTATGATTTTCAGTCATTTTTTCGAATTTTCAAGATTACTGTAGATTCTAAAACTATAAAAAAGTTGCCTATCTATGTTTCCAGATGTCCGAAAATCAAATTTTCGGAGTTTCAGGCGCCAAAATCGGTAAAAATGACGATTTTTCGATTGAAAATCTATTATTTTCCGGTTTTTTGAGTGAAAATTTCAAAGTTTTAGAGATTTCTGTGTTTCCAGATGTCCAAAAATTCGAATTTCCGGTTTTTTGGCGCTAAAAATAGGAGAATAATGACAGTTTTTCCAGCGATTTCAGCCAATTTCTGATGACTTCTTCTCTAATTTTTCACATAAATCCTTTTTTTAACCAAAATATGCAATTTCAGTCTATTTGCTCCGGTTTTTTCTTCAAATTTCCCCTGAAAAAGGCAATGAATATCAAAAATCGCCTGTTGCTCTTCTGGATCAAAAAAAATGCAACAAAAATAAGCAGAAAAAACGACGACGAAAAAAAAAGATTATGCATTTTATATTGGAAGCGCTCTCCTTTTTTCTTCTTTTCGCTCCTCACCGAAGGGTTTCACAAGTGTTTCTTCTGCCCACAAACAGCGAAATGAAGTCGGCGACGTAGCGTGCTTCTGTTGTTGGTAGCTGCAAAGAAATTGCGAATTTTTCGAGTTTTTTGGGCAGTTTTTGACCATTTTCGACCAAAAATTCTTTATTTTTGGATTTTTAAAAATCGATTTTGAACCATTTTCAATGAATTTCGATCTATTTTTGGCTTTTTTCTTGATCATATTTTGATAATTTTGAGCTATTTTTCTTGCATTTTGGACTGTTTTTCATGAATTTTGCACCAGTTTTCCTGAATTTTGGCCCATTTTCCATTCATTTTAAATCTTGCTTTTGGACTGTTTTTCATGAATTTCGAGCCATTTTTCATGAATTTTGAACAAATTTTCATGAATTTTGAACTATTTTCCATGAATTTTGGTCCATTTTTCATGAATTTTGGGTCTTTGTTTTTGCTTTTGGACTGTTTTTCATGAATTTTGGACCATTTTTTAACGATTTTAAGAAGTCTTTTTTTCAATTTTTATAAATTTTCGATGAATTTTAGACAACTTTTAAAGAATTTCGCACTATTTTTCATGAATTTCGGAGCATTTTTATAGGATTTTGGACGATTTTATATGATTTTCGGATAATTTTTTCAGAAATTTTGGAGCATTTAGAACATTTTCAAGACTTTTTGATGATTTTGTACGAATTTTGGTTCTGAATTCGCTTTTTTTTCAATATTTTTTGGTCAAGATGGACCATTTCTAACCAATTTTTGATTGATTTTGGGTCATTTTTCAATAATTTTCACACATTTCCTTACCAATGGATACGTCTTCATTTTGGGAATACCCAAATTGAAAATCGTGCAATTTGGCGCCAGCCTGGCGAGCATCGGTCCGAAATCTTTGGCATATGTGACGTCGTAGATGAAAAAAGCCAGCCGTTTGACTGGAGTCGCCGCACGACAACGCTCACGGCGTTCGACGAACTTTTGGATGACGTCCTGCAAAAAATAATGGGGTTTTGCGCATTTTTTTAGCTTTTCAATGAATTCAAGGCATTCGACACTGTCCCACACAATCTCTTGCTGCTGAAAATGAGGCGAATAGGTATTGATGAACGATGCTGCGATTGGTTCGAGTCCTTTCTCAGCAACCGCTCATCTAACGTCAAGGTTAATGGCCTAATGTCAACCAGCGAGATTGTTGTCAAATCCGGAGTCCCCCAAGGAAGTGTCACTGGCCCCTTTTTGTTTCTGATCTACATTAACGACTTACTCGGCCTCTTTCCTCCCAATGTTCATGTCACGGCGTTCGCCGACGACCTAAAAATAACCGGTTCCGAGCCATTGGATATGCAGAGAAGTATCGAAATCGTCGAGCACTGGTGTGACATCTGGAGACTCAAACTAGCCGAAAATAAGACGGCCGTTATGCATTATGGTAAACGCAACCCTAAGACAGTTTACTTTATTAAGGGATCCCCCATTACTCCGCATCGCTCATTCAAGGACCTAGGTATACTAGTTGATGATCAACTTCAATTCGACAAACACATCAATCTTATTGCCTACTCTGCTAAACTCAAGTCCCGCCAAATACTGAAAACGTTCCAATCGATAAACCCTTGTTTATATTTCCGTCTCTTCGACACCTACATGACCGGTCCTCGAATACGGTTGTGAACTTTTCGATCCATCCAATGCCACACTTGCCAATAAACTAGAATCTCCTCTTCGTTTTTTCACCAGAAAAGTCTTTCAGAGATGTAATATGCCCTTCAATTCATACACTGATCGCCTATCCCAGTTCTCTATGCTAACCACCCTTCATCGCCGCACCCTTCTAGTTCTTCGTACCTATCACAAAATTGTTATAAACTCATACCATTTCCCCTCTATGTCGTCCTACATTCTTCCCAGCCATTCTAACAGAGTCCCGTATTTGTTCAAAATCAACGGTCAATACTTTGACTGCTTCCTTCACAGAAACTTGTCTATGTGGAACCGTGTATGTAAGGTGATAAATTCTAGGCTCAGTCCGGTGGCGTTTGCTAAACGAGTAGGAGCGATTCCTTGATATTCTGATCCCTCCCACTTGACCTACAGGACTCTAGTCGGTCCGTCTGGTCATTTTACTTTTTTATTTGTACAGGTCCCATTTCTTGTCAAATTATCTATCGATTTCCCCCATGCATTGCAAATAAATATATTATTATTATTTTAACCCAAAAAATAAAAAAAATTCACTTCAATAGCATATTTGCATGTCGGCGCGCAAATTTTGATCTCGATTTCGACATTATTCAGTTGAATTTTGTCGTCCGTCATACAATCCAAACATTTTCCAGCATCCGCAATGGGCACTTCGATGAAATCTAAAAACAGCAAACACAACAATTGTTAGGCCTATTTCGCCGGATTTTAATTACCATCCAACTGGCACGCGATGTCCACTTTCGGTTGTCCTCGCTCTCCCTTGCTAATGTTTTGAAATTTGATGACGAACGGTTCCGAGTACTCCTCGTGCTCGAAATCGCCGAACTCGTCGCCATCGAACGATAGCGATTTTTCCGGGGTTCGTTTCCATCTGAAAATATGTTTTTTTGGAATTTTTAGGCCCAAAAAAAATTTTTTTCAGAAATTTTCCCTATTTTTCCGCATTTTCCTACTGACCTAACCGATGAATCACTGAAAAACGATGACGAACTCGATTTCGGACTCGATAAATCCGAAAAATTCAGCGAATTCGTCACGGTTGTGTCCATTTTTTCGCCGGAAATCCCGAGAAAATTCCTGAAAAAATCCCACATTTCGCGAATGTTGTCCGAGAGGACGCCACGGGATGCGCGAGAGTTTCGAACGGAAGAGCCGGAATGGGTTACTGTAGCTTGTAAATCGACAAGAATTCTGTTTTTTTTGTCGTTTTTCTATATTTTTCCAGATTTTCAGTGTCTTTCGCTCGTTTTAGACTGTTTTTCTCCGATTTTTGCTGATTTTTACCTGAAAATTGCGATTTTTCAACTGAAATTTAGCTATTTTCATGAGGAATATGCGAAAAATCCGGAAATTCCAGTGAAAATCAGGAAAATCGACTTTTCATGGTTTTTGCTTATTTTAGACGATTTTTCTTCGATTTTTATTGATTTTTACCTGAAAATTGCGATTTTTCGACTGAAAATCGGCTATTTTCATGAGAAATTTGGTGAAAATCGATTTTTCCAGTAATCTCCGAATTTTATCCCCCATTTTCCCAACGACGGCACATTTTTCCACATTAAAACCACATGATTTTTTTTTCGTCCGTTTTTCTATCATCTATATCCATCCATCCGTCCTTTTCGTCGTTTATCCCCCGGGGATTTCTATATATATAAAGTGTATACAACAAATCTTCCCAAACTGAAATTTCAGATTAATCCCAATCTGAAGATGCTATTTTTTATATATAAAAATTTCTGAAAATTCTGGATTTTTCATGAAAAAAATCTGTAAGAAATTCCAAAATTTCAACCTGAAAATTATAGATTTTTCTGGATAAAAAATCCCAAAAAATTCTAAATTTTCCATCTAAAAATCGATGCATCAAATGCAGAAAAAAGAGAAAATTGTTGGAAAAAAAAGAGGAAAAAGTCGATCCTGCTCCTCCTACTCGTCGCCCTCCTCGCCCCTTCGTTTTGAAACGCCCTGACACTTCCAATTAAGGCATGCTCCACTATTTTTGTAGGCTATTTCTAGTGCTCTCTTCGTTTTCCTCCTTTTTTTATGCTCATAATTTTTTTCGTATTTAACGGAGACACCTACGCAAAAATTGGAATTTTTCTGAGAAAATTTTTAATTTCTGGACGAAAAATGTATCATTTTTCCCATTTTTCATAAATTTTGGACCATTTTTGGTCCATTTTTCATGAATTTCAAACCATTTTTCATGAATTTCGGACCATTTTTCATGAATTTTGGACCATTCTAAACGATTTTTAGGTCTTTTTTTAAAAAATGTTTATCAATTTCGACGAATTTTGAAGCATTTTTGTATAAATTTCGGATAATTTTTCATTACGATTTTTTTCGAATTTCGGGACATTTTTTCAAAAAAAAAATTATCCGAAATTTATAGAAAAATGGTCCAAAATTTGTCGAAATTAATAAAAATTTCAGAAAACGATCTGAAAATCGTAAAAATGGTCCAATATTCATGAAAAATTGTTCAAATTATAATAAAAATGTCCCGAATTCATAGAAAATGCTCTGATATTTCTGAAAAAATTATTCTGAAATCATATAAAATCGTCCAAAATCCAATAAAAATGGTCCAAAATTTATCAAAAATGGTTGAAAATCTATGAAAAATGGTCCAAAATCCATTAAAAATGATCCCAAATTCATTAAAAATGGTCCAATATTCATGTAAAATGGTCCAAAATTCATGAAAAATGGTTGAAAATCTATGAAAATAGATTCAAAATTCTTGAAAAATTGTCTGAAATTCGTCGAAAATTAATAAAAATTAAAAAAAAATGATCCAAAAAAAATTGAAATTTCGCTATTTTATCACCCTAAATTTCAAGATTTTTCGTCCGTTTTTTTTCAGTTTTTGAAGTCTAAAATTCCAGAAAATTCATCCAAAAAGAACAAAAAATTCCCATTTTTTCATTAAAAATGCCACTTTTTCCCCCTCTCCCCGGCCATTTTTCCACCTCATTAATCATGTTTTTTCGATTACCTTTTTCCCATTTTTTCGCCATTTTTGTGCCATTTCAAGAAGAAGATGCTGAAAATTGATGTATGTCTGTGTTTCCGGATGTCCCAAATTTGACAAAATTCCCATTTTTTAGACATTTTTTGAGCAAAAAATTGAGACAAATAGTGATTTTTGCCGAGAAAAAAGAGGTAATTTACAAATTTTTAGTGAAAAATCCACATTTTCAGCTTTGAAAAATTCTGAAAATCTGTCTGTCCGTGCTTCCAGATGTCCGAAAATCGAATTTTAGGGTTTTAGGCTATTTTTGCTGATTTTTTCGATGGATAGAAGACGAAATTGATGCGAAAAAGTGGCAAAAAAACGGAGGAAAATGTTGCAATTGTTTGTGTAAAGCACCTCTCTCTCTTTCTCTGCGTCTCTCTCTATCTCCCGTTTTTCTCTAGATGTCTGTGGTATCCGCCGATTTGAAACACACGAGAGGAGCTATATATTATCTATTTCGTTTTTTTTCTTTTTTTTCAAAACCAATTTTTGCCTGTTTTTTGAATAAAAATCCCTTTGTTTTTCAAAAAATCTGATGGAAAAAACAAAAAGAAAAGAAAGAAAATTCCAGTAAAAATACACCGAAATTCGCCGAATTCAGCACTTTTTCGCTGAATTTTAGGCCGAAAAACGCCTTTTTTTGGCGCCAAATTCAAAAAATTCGAGCGTTTTTAAGTTTTGAGCCATATTTGAGTGTGGAACCTATTTTTCAGTAATAAAATCAAAAAATTAATTTTCTGGCAATTTTTTCGATTTTTTAGCTCAAAAAATTATATATATATTTTTTGAAATTTTGAAAGGAAATCCGCTCAGAATTCTGAATTTTTATGTTAAAAAATGCTGAAAAATTGATTTTTTTGTCTAAAAATTATCTGGAATCTGGAAAAAACCACCCTGAAAATAGGTTCGAAACTTTGAAAAAAACGAATTTTTTGAATTTGGCGCCAAAAAAGCGGTTTTTCCACCTAAAATTTAGCGAAAAAGTGCTTAATTCGCGAATTTCGGTGTATTTTTACTGGAAAAAACGACTTTTTTTGCCAGTTTTATCCGATTTTTTTTGTTGAGAAAGTCCATTTTTTAAATCATCAAAATTCCAATTTTTCAGTTTTTTTTCCTGGAATTTCGGGTTCAAAATTTTGTTTTTCTTTAATTCTTAAATTTTGAAAAACCTTTTGAAAAACGTGAAACCTGAAAAAAAAACTTTTAAAATCAGGTTTTTCAGACTAAAATTTCGAATTTCCCGCCCTTTTTTCTGGATTTTGTAGATCAATTTTAAAGGCGGGCAAATTTGAAAACCAGTTTTCTCTTCTCATTTTTTCTTCTTTTTACCCCTTTTTTGCTCTTTTTCCCCTTGCAAAAGTCTAAATTATCAGGAATTTTTCCAGCAAAATGGGATGTATCATGAGTCAGACGGACGACGCGGCGAGTCGATCGAAAAAAATCGATCGTTTGGTGAGTTTTTCTCTTGAAAATTGAAGCAAAAAGCTCAAAAAAAACTGGAAAACCGAGATTTTCAGCATTCTTAACATAAAAATTGGATTTTACAAGCAAAATTCCATTAAAAATTTTGAAAAAATGAGTTATTTTCAGCTGAAAAATCGTCGGAAACTCTCATTTTTTGGATTTTCTCGCCTGAAAATTTGGATTTTTGAAAAATCTTCGCATGAAAAATCGATTTTCAGCATATTTTAACATAAAAATTCGAAATTCGAAGCGAATTTCTTTTCGAAAATTTGAAATTTCGAGAATTTCGGAATTCAAAATCTTCGAAAAGCCTCAAAAATTATATATTTTGATCTGAAAAATCGCCAGGAACTCTTATTTTGTGAGTTTTTTGTCTGAAAATTGGATTTTTAGGGAATTTTCATATTAAAAAAATTCGATTTTCAGCATTTTTTTACAAAAAATTCGAATTTCTAGATGAATTTTCGTGATTCTTCACTCCAAAATAAGGTATTTTTAACTGAAAAATCGAAAAAATTGTTAGAAAATTGATATTTTGAGGTTTTTTGAGTGAAAATTTATCAGATTTTAGAGAATTTTCAGACGAAAAACTGAATTTTTCAGCATTCTTAACGCAAAAATTCGAATTTCGAGGCGAATTTCTTTTCAAAAGTTTGAAATTTCGAAAATTTCGGAATTCAAAATCTTCGAAAAGCCTCAAAAATCAGATATTTTGAGCTGGAAAATCGTTGGAAACTCTGATTTTTTGGATTTTTCGCCTGAAAATTTGGATTTTTAGAGAATTTTCACATGAAAAATCGATTTTTCAGCATTTTTCAACCCAAAAATTCGAATTTCCGAGATTTTTTACTTGAAATATTCGAAAAAACTACCAAAAATAGGATGTTTTGAGCTAAAAAAATTGAAAACTTGAAAATTTTTCCGGATTTTAGAGATTTTCAGACGAAAAAATATGATTTTTCAGCATTTTTTTAACACAAAAATTCGAATTTCGAGGCGAATTTCCTTCAAAATTTCGAAAAAATGAGTTATCTATCTCGAAAAAATTGCTAGAAAATTGATTTTTTGAGGTTTTTTGAGTGAAAATTTAGATTTTTCAGCATTTTTTAACATAAAAATCTGGAAAAAAAATCCAAAAAATCCGCCGTTTTCCAGCTAAAAGAAGATCAGGAGAACGCAAACAAGACGGTGAAATTGCTGCTGCTGGGCGCCGGAGAATCGGGAAAATCGACGATATTGAAACAGATGAGAATCATTCACGACGTCGGATATACGAAGGACGAACGACGCGTTTTTCGATCCGTCGTCTTTGGAAATATCATTTTGGTATGGATGTTTTGGCTGAAAATGGCTGAAAAACGACGACGATTTTTAGAGGAAAAAGTGCCTGAATTTGGCGAAAAATTGGCTGGAAATGTTCAGAAAATACCGAAAAAAGGCTTAAAATCGTCGCAAAATGATTTTAAAAGTATGAAAATTTGGTTATTTTCGACCAAAATTAAACTTAAAAGTTGAAATTATCTTCAAAAATCGCTAAAACTACAGTAATCCAACCTTGGCAATGTATAGGAAAGCCTACAGTAATCCCAAAAGCTATGCGCGCCATTTCGAAAACTGCAGTAACCATTTCAGTGTGTCAGAGTGGGGCTACAGTAGCCTATAGGAAAAAAAATACAGTAATCCAAGACAATTTAGTTTTTAAAGTCAACCACGGTTTCTCTCCAAAAAAGCAGGAAGTTGGAAAATTACAGTAATCCTGATTGTGAGAAAATTACAGTAACCATTTCACTATGTCAGAGAGGGGCTACAGTAGCCAATATGGGTGAAACTACAATAATCCAAAAACATTTCTCTAGAAAAGTTACAGTATCGGTATATTTTTTATCTGTATAAATAATGTTGGATTACTGTAGCCCCTCTCTGACATACTTAAATGGTTACTGTAGTATACTGTAGTTTGTTTCCCTCCAACAAAAACAGGAATTTGGAAAAGAAAACTACAGTAACCCTTTCTAAAAATAACCGAATCTTCAGTCACTTAACGCCATCATCGCCGCCATGGAACAGCTGAAAATCGAGTACGAAAAGGAGGAGCACAGAGCGGATGCCAGAAAAGTGTTGGCATTTGGAGCGACGGGAGAAGAAGACGAGATTCCAGATGAGCTGGCTGCACTGATGAAGAGTGTATGGTCGGATGAGGGTATTCAGAAGGCAGTCGCGAGGTTGGTTAGAGGGAAATTGGAGGAAAAAATTAAGAGAAAATTGCGAAAAATTGAGCCAAAATAAGCAAAAAAAACGTGGAAAATGAGCTGAAATTGCTGAAAAAAAAAGAGCTAAAACTGTCAGAAAAGGTGTAAAATAGGTGAGAATCGCGAGCGGAACGGTTGAAATGAGCTGAAATCGCTTTTAAAAAATGTTGAAAATTGCGAAAATAGAGCCAAAATGAGTCAAAATTGCCAGAAAATTTGCAAAAAAAACCGAAATTGGCAGAAAATAGATCCAAAATGAGCAAAAAATTGTGGAAAATGAGCTAAAATTGCTGAAAAAAAGAGCTAAAACTGCCAAAATTGTGAGAAAAAGAGTTGAAAATTGCGAAAATAGAGCCAAAATTGCGAGAAAAATTGCAAAAAAAAAAACCGAAATTGGCAGAAAACTGAGCCAAAGTGAGCTAAAAATCGTTAAAAATGAGCCAAGATTAGTCCGAAAATTTTAAAAAAATCGACTTATTCCATTCCAGATCCCGCGAATATCAGCTCAACGACTCGGCAGAATACTATTTGAGTCAGCTGGATCGAATTTGTGAGGCCGACTACATTCCCACGCAGGTATGGCTCGATTTTTAGGCATTTCGTCTGAAATTTCGGCCAAAAATTGGAAAATTTTAGCCAGAAATTGGAACTTGGCTGGAATTTCAGCCAGAAATCGAAAAATTAGAGACATCCAGATACACAGAGATAGACACATTTTTCAGGATGACGTCCTCCGAACACGAATCAAGACGACGGGCATCGTCGAGACGCAGTTCATCTTCAAGGATAGGCTTTTCGTGTGAGTTTGATGTGCAGGTGGTTTTCTGGGGGGTTACTGTAGTTCCATGGGAATACGGTAACTGGCAGTTACCGTAAAATCTGTATTAGAAGGGCCAGCTCTTCTATTTTTCCAAGGTTTCCCCGGAGGGCCCTTCTATTAGAGGAGGTGCCTTCTAATACAGGTTTTACGGAATAATTCTCGTTTGAATTACTGTAGTCTTCTCTGACTTTTTGAAATGATAAGTATAGTTTTTCCCTTGATTAATGTAGTTTTTTCCTGGATTACTGTAGATTATAATTTACACATCTTTGTTTTTGGATTACTGTACTCTTCACTTTTTTTTGCTTTTCTTTGGATTACTGTAGTTTTCTATCTGGATTACTGTAGTTTTCACCGGGTTACGGTAGGTTGATGTATCCGAATGGTTTTTATGCCTTTGGGATTGCAGTAATTTTCGATTTTTCCCACGTTTCTCTCTCTCTCTCTCTGGATTACTGTAGTTTCCCCATTAATTCACTGTAGTTTTCTATGGATTACTGTAGGTTAAAGTACACATTTTTCTTTCTGGATTACTGTACCTTTTCCGAATGGTTTTTATGATTTTGGGATTACTGTAGTTTTCTCTATGGATTACTGTATTCATTTTTTTTTCAGTGTATTCGACGTCGGCGGTCAGCGATCGGAGCGAAAAAAGTGGATTCACTGCTTCGAAGACGTCACCGCGTTGATCTTCTGTGTCGCCATGTCCGAGTACGATATGGTGCTGATGGAGGATCGAAAAACGGTAAAAATTGGGGATTTAGGGAGGAAAATGCTCATTTTCAGCGATTTTTGACCTAAAAAACAGAGAAAATTGAGATTTTTGGACGAAAAATGAAGATTTTTGAGTGAAAATAGCGATTTCCACAAATTTTTGACCTAAAAATTGTGAAAAATCGAATTTTGGATTTTTTGAAATTTCTGTAATTTTCAGGAAAAAAATCTGAAATTTTATTAAAATTCAAAAAATTTCGGAAAATCTGAAAATTCTGAAAAAAATTCGAATAATTCTGAAAAGTTTTAATTTTTGGAAAATAGAAAAATTCAAAAAAAAAATTTTTTTTTCGAAATTCTAAAAATTCTGAAAAAATTACAAAAAAAAAACAATTCAAAAATTGTCCAAAAATCATAGTTTTCTCTGGTTTACTGTACTTTTTTCTCATCAGATCACTGTATCGATTACTGTACTAATTACTGTATCAAACCATTTCCATTGAATAACTCCGAAAAAATCGATTTTTTTCGATCTGAAAAATCTGAAAAATCACACATTGCTCATCTCAAAATTCGGAAAAAAAAATCGATTTTTTGATCTTAACATCACATATTGCTCATCTGAAAATTCGAAAAATATCGATTTTTTAATCTGAAAAATCTGAAAACTCGCCCATTGCTCATCTCAGAAATCTCTCAAAATTTGCAGAATCGAATGCGCGAATCGCTGAAAGTGTTCGACTCGATTTGCAACAGTAAATGGTTCGTCGAGACTTCGATCATTCTATTCCTGAACAAAAAGGACCTGTTCGAGGAGAAGATCAAGAAGTCCCCGCTGACATATTGCTTCCCAGAATACACGGGACACGACAACTTTGACGATGGATCAGCATTCATTCAGAAGCAATTTGAGATTGTTAACAAGAGACAGGGAGGACAGAAGGTGAGGCGATTTTTACGGGTTTTGGGAGGAATTTTGGGGTGAAAAATGGAGAAATTTGGATTGAAATTGCTAGAAAAAGTGGTTCTGAAACGTCGCAGTTTTAAAATTTCATAGTTCTGAAATGTCACAATTCTAAAATTTCACAGTTCTAAAGTGTCGTAGTTTTTGAATTGTCGCAGTTCGAAGACGCCCAGTTCAAAAGCGGTTGAAATGTCAGTTCTGAATTGCCATAGTTTTGAATTTTCGCAGTTCTGAAACGTTGCGGTCCTGAAACGTCGCAGTTCTGAAATGTCACAGTTCGGAACTGTCGCAGTTCAGGAATGTCGCGGTTCTTAAACGTCGCAGTTCTAAAATGGCATAGTTCTGAACTGTCGCAGTTCTAAAATGTCACAGTTCTAAGACATCACAGTTCTAAAACGTCGCAGTTCCAAAATGTCGCAGTTCTTAAATGTCACAGTTTTCATAGTTCTAGAACGTCGCAACTGTTGAGTGTCAGAACTGACCATTTAGAACTGTCGTATTTCAGAACTGCGACGTTTCAGAACAATAAATTCCAATTTAAAAAATTCGAAAAATTTGAAAACTTCAAATTTGAAAAATAGGACATTTTAGAACCGAGGGTTCCGAAATGTCCTAAAACGACGTTTCGCAACTATCGCGAAACCAAACTAGACGTTTTAGAACTGCACCGTTTCGCAACTTTCTTCCTCCAAAATGAAACCTATCCTAAACAAAGGGTCATCCTAGAACCGCGACGTTCCAGAACTGCGACATTTTAGAACTGCGACATCATGGAACTGCGACATTTCAGAACTGCGACATTTCAGAACTGCGACATTTTAGAACTGTGGCACCTTAGAACTGCGATGTTTCAGAACTGTGACATTTTAGGACCGCGCGACATTTCAGAACCAGACCATTCTAGAACTGTCCAAGAATTCGAAAATTCTATAAAAATTGAATTTTCATCGTTTTCCAGGAAATCTACACCCAATTCACATGTGCCACCGACACGAACAACATCCGATTCGTCTTCGACGCCGTAACCGACATTGTGATTCGGGACAATTTGCGCACGTGTGGTCTCTACTAGCCTCTGAAAATGTCTGAAAATATCTGGAAATTTTCAAAAAAAAAAATCATAATTTCATGTTTTATCCTTCTCCATTTTCCCCTCATCTTATCCACTTTTTTTCCTTTGTTTTCTATTTTTCAAATATCATTTTTTGAGATTTTTTGAAAATTTTAACTTTTCAAAAATCTTCAAAACCCCTCCCCTCCCCTCCCACTGACAAAAATTCCGGTATGTTTATTATTTTTTTTATATGTATTGACCTTTTTTTTCTCCCCATCCCACTGCTCTATTCGATACGGTTCTCTCATGCCTCTTTTTGTTTTTTTTTGTTTGGACGGTTCTAGAATGGTCTGGTTCTGAAATTTCGCGCGGTTCTAGAATGACAATTTTTAAAGATAGATTTTGTAGGGAAAAAGTTGCGAAACGTCCGATTTTCCGAAATGTGATGTTTTAGAACTTTTTGGTTCTGAAATGTCCGATTAAAAAAATAAGACGTTTCAGAACTTCTTGTTTCTGAAATGTCATATTTTGAAAAATAGGACGTTTCAGAACGTTTTGGTTCTAGGATCTCTTATTTTTCTAAATGCGACATTCTAGAAATTTTTGGTTCTGAAATGTCGCGAGGGTTCTAGAATGGCTTACAATTTTTTAAAGATAGGTTTGATTTTGGAGGGGAAAAGTTGCGAAACGTCGTAGTTCTAAAGCGTCTAGTTAGGTTTCTTGATAGTTCCCAAACGTCGTTTTAAGAACATTTCGGAACCCTTGGTTCTAAAATGCCCCACGACGTTTTAGAAATTTTTGGTTCTGAAATGTCCTATTTTTAAAAATGTGACGTTTTAGAACTCTTTGGTTCTAGGATCTCTTATTTTTCAAAATGCGACGTTTCAGAACTTTTTGGTTCGAGGATGTCTGTTTTTCCGAAATACGACATTTTAGAACTTTTTGCTTCCGAAATGACTTGTTTTTCAAAGTACGACGTTTTAGAACTTTTTTTCTGAAATGTCCCATTCTTCGAAAAGTGATATTTGAGAACTTTTTTGTTCTAAAATGTCATATTTTTCAAAATTGGACGTTTTAGAACTTTTGGGTTCTAAAATGTCCGATTTTCCAAAATGCGACGTTTTAGAACTTTTGGTTCTGAAGTTTCCTATTTTGAAAAATAGGACTTTGTAGAACTATATGGTTCTAAAATGTCATATTTTTCAGAATACGACGTTTTAGAACTTTTGGTTCTAGAATGTCCTGTTTTGAAAAATAGGACGTTTTAGAACTTTTCGGTTCTAAAATGTCTGATCTTCCAAAATGCGACGTTTTAGAACTTTCCGAAAGTTCTACAAATTCTTTTTTGTACTTTTTTTTCGAAAACCTAATTCTAAGTTTAGACTACTGTAGTTCTAAACCGTCACAGTTCTATAATCCGTCAACAGTTCTAAAACGTCCTTATTTTTGCTATTTTCCCCCTCCCTTCCCTCATCACGATGCCTTACTGAAAACCAATTTTACTGGTAACTGATTCTTCATTTTTTTCAAATTCTCTCCCTTTTTTGCTCTTTCAACTGACACCAAACTACACACAAACTGACTCTATGAATATCATTTTTTTAATTTTTTAATTTTCTTTTTTTTAAATTTTGTTGGCTCGTGAAGTTGGATTTCAATCCACATAATCGGAAAAGAAGCGAAAAAATCAGCAAAATTTGAACAATTCTAGCCTTTTTATGGTGCTGAAAATGCGTGTCTTACACTGGTGTCTGATTGGTTTTCTCACTGCTGCGCTGCTCCCAGTCGAATCTAAATATCGATTCAGATTTCGTGAGTTTTTGGCCTGGAAAATCAGAAAATTGGGAAAAAAATCGATTTCTAACAATCTGGGACATGTGAAATTCAAGAAAAAATGGTTCTGAAAAAGGCTGAAATTCAGTCCCTAATTTCTGAAAATTTGAAATAGAAAATGTCGAAAATCGGAAAATTCTGAAAATTTCAAAATTCTGAAAACTTAAAAATTCCCAGAAATAGAGAAGTTTCAAGCCGAAACCTAGCGATTTCGAAAATCAGAATTTTCGAAAAATCTAAAAATTCCAGATTTTTAAAAAAATATCGCTGAAAATCTACAATTCTAGAAACTTATAAAAATTTTGAAATTTCCGAAAAACTGAAAAAAAATTTTGAAAAATCTAAAAATTTGAGACTCTTCGAAACCGGTCATTTCGAAACCGCGACACTTCGAAACCGGTCATTTCGAAACCGCAACACTTCGAGACCGAGACACTTCGAAGCCAGTCACTTCGAAACCGCGACACTTCGAAACAAGACATTTCGAAACCGCGACACTTCGAAACCGCGACACTTCGAGACCGCGACACTTCGAAACCGGTCATTTCAACACTATGTGACACTTCGAAACCGGTCATTTCGAAACCGCGACACTTCGAAACAAGTCATTTCCTAATCGCGACACTTCGCGACCGAGACACTTCGAAACCAGTCACTTCGAAACCGCGACACTTCGAAACCGCGACACTTCGAAACAAGACATTTCGAAACCGCGACACTTTGAAACCGCGACACTTCGAGACCGCGACACTTCGAAACCGGTCATTTCAACACTATGTGACACTTCGAAACCGGTCATTTCGAAACCGCGACACTTCGAAAACGGTCATTTCAACACTATGTGACACTTCGAAAACGGTCATTTCAACACTATGTGACACTTCAAAACCAGTCACTTCGAAACCGCGACACTTCGAAACCGCGACACTTCGAGACCGCGACACTTCGAAACCGGTCATTTCAACACTATGTGACACTTCGAAACCGCGACACTTCGAAAACGGTCATTTCAACACTATGTGACACTTCAAAACCAGTCACTTCGAAACCGCGACACTTTGAAACCGCGACACTTCGAGACCGCGACACTTCGAAACCGGTCATTTCAACACTATGTGACACTTCGAAACCGGTCATTTCGAAACCGCGACACTTCGAAAACGGTCATTTCAACACTATGTGACACTTCGAAAACGGTCATTTCAACACTATGTGACACTTCAAAACCAGTCACTTCGAAACCGCGACACTTCGAAACCGCGACACTTCGAAAAAAGTCATTTCCTAATCGCGACACTTCGAAACCAGTCATTTCGAAACCGCGACACTTTTTTCGAAATGTCGCGGTTTCGAAGTGACACGGAGCCGATTCCCAAAATTCTAAAAGTTGAGAAAAACCTGAAAAAAGTCTGAAAATCTGAAATTTTCAGACACAAATTTTCAGACACATGCATCAAAGAGGACCAGGCAATTTTGGATCGTGAGAATCTCGTCTCCCTCCGTCAAATGGCATTCATTGATGACGGAAGTTTTGGCGGTCGAAAACGTACGTTTTAGAACAGCGACATTTTAGAACTGCGACATTTTAGAACTATGACATTTTAGAACTATGACATTTTGGAACTATGACATCTTGAAACTATGACACTTTAGAACGGCGACATCTTAGAACTGCGACATTTCAGAACTGTGACTTTTCAGAACTGTGATGTTTCAGAACTATGACATTTTAAAACTGCGATATTTTAGAACTATGACGTTTTGAAACTGACACCGTTTCGCAACTTTTTTCCTCCAAAATCAAACCTATCCTAAACAAAGGGTCATCCTAGAACCGCGACGTTTCAGAACTGCGACATTTTAGAACTGCGACATCTTAGAGTTGTGACATTTTAGAACTGCGACATTTTAGAACGGCGACACTTTAGAACTGTGACATTTTGGAACTATGACATTTCAGAACGTCGGTTGTCAGAGTTTGGTATAGACATTGAGCATGGATCGCTGCTGAAAAACTTCACAAAGGAATATCCAGTGGTACGGTAGGGGGGGGGACATCTGGACAACCGGGAAACACAGACAGACAACTTTTGCAGGGCGCCGAATCAACAATCCATTTTATCAATTTCCGTGAATCGGAATATCTGATTTTGATCAATTTTTGGAGCCGGTCGTACTATTTCGTGAAGAAAGGCGAAAAAATCAATATTCGGAAGGCTGGAAAGACGCTGAAACCCAGTTTTGAGCATTTTGTACGGTGAGGGAATTTCCGAGTTTTTTGGAATTTTTGACAGTTTTGATTTTTTTTTGAATTATGAGATTTTTAAAAAGAAATTTTAGAAATTTAGAAGTTTCTTGAATTTTTGGGATTTCTTGTAGAACTGCGACATTTCAGAACGGTGGCATTTTTGAACTGCGACATTTTGGAACTGTGACATTTTGGAACTATGACATCTTGAAACTATGACACCTTGAAACTATGACACTTTAGAACTGCGACATTTTAGAACTACGACATTTCAGAACTATGACATTTCAGAACTGCGACATTTTAGAACTGCGACATTTTGGAACTGTGACATTTTGGAACTATGACATCTTGAAACTATGACACTTTAGAACTGCGACATTTTAGAACTGCGACATTTTAGAACTACGACATTTCAGAACTATGACCTTTCAGAACTGCGACATTTTAGAACTGCGACATTTTAGAACTGCGACACTTCAAACTGGGACATTTTAGAACTCCGACACTTTAGAACTGTGACATTTTAGAACTGTGACATTTTAGAACTGCGACACTTCAAAACTGTGACATTTTAGAACTGTGACATTTTAGAACTGTGACATTTTAGAACTGTGACATTTTATAACTGCGACATCTTAGATATATGATTCATAATTCCAAAAATCTGAAAATCATGGAACTTTTTTTTAAATCTGAGTTTTTCGAAAATCCCAAAATTTCAGATGTCGTAGTTCTGAAACGACATGGGTGTCATTTTAGAACTGTTACGGTTGAGAACTTTTTGTTATCGAAAAAAGGCTGAATAGATCTAAAATGTCACAGTCCTAGAACGATCTGGTTGTGAAACGTCGCAGTTCTGAAACGTCATAGTTCTAAAATGTCACAGTTCTAAAATGTCGCAGTTCTAAAACACTGAAAAATTTCAAATTTTGAAAAAAAATGTTAAAGTTCCAAAAATTCCAAAATTTCTGATTTTAAATTAAAATTCTGAGAATTCCAAAAAATCTGAAAATCGGATGAAAATGAATCTAAAGCAGTTCTGGACATTTCTCAAAAGTTTCAAAAAACTGAAAAATTCAAAAAAAAAAGTTTTTTTTCGAAACTTTCCAAAATTCGATATGTTTAATTTATATTCCAATCTAATTTATGTTTTCCAGTGTCTATTTCATTTGTGCTCCTGGAAACGCTAGAAGTGCTCTAATCCTGTTCGGCGAACAAGCCAAACTTCGAATGGTCGCTCCTCAAAGTGACGTTGGCGAGAGAAAAGAGACGCAGACGCCGAAGGCACAAAAGAAGCCAAAGAAAAGATCGCCGATTTTAGTGACCCAGAAAACTGCCGATAATTCTACAGTAACCGTCCGAAAGTGCCGAAAACGCGGTCTCCGTAAAAAGCGAGCTGTGGGGAGCCCGAAAAGACAGTTTTCGAAGAAAATTATTAGGAAAACGCCAAAGGATGAGCGGAGACTGGCGAGGAGAGCTCTGTGAGTTTTTTTGAAAGAAAATTTTTTTTTTAATTTTTAACAATTTTTTTAATTTTTTTAAATTTTTAAAAATTAAAAAAAAATTTTCTGACTTTTTTTTCGGAATTTACATATATTCCAGACTTTTCTAGATTTTAAGTTTTTTTTTTGGTTTTTAAAATTTTCAGAAGTTTCGAAAATTTCAGATTTGGTATTAATTTTTTTTTTTGAAATTTTTCAGATTTGTTTAAAATTTTGAAATTTTCGGATTTTTCGAAATTTTGGTTTTTGAAATTTTCAGTTTTGTTTGAATTTTTTCAGATTTGTTCAGAATTTCGGAAATTTCAGTTTTGTTTGAATTTTTTGATTTATCGAAATTTCCAGATTTTTCAATGTTTTTTTTCAAAACTCACAGTTCTGAAATGTCGCAGTTCCAAAATGTCACAGTTCTAAAATGTCAGAGTTCTGAAATGTCGCAGTTCTGAAATGTCGCAGTTCTGAAATGTCGCAGTTCTAAAATGTCACAGTTCTGAAAGTGTCGCAGTTCTGAAATGTCGCAGTTCTAGAATGTCGCAGTTCTGAAATGTCACAGTTCTTAAATGTCCCAATTTTGAAATGTCGCAGTTCTAGAATGTCGCAGTTCTAAAATGTCGCAGTTCTAAAAATTCCAGATTTTTCAATATTTCAGACGTTTTTGAAAATCGGAAATATCCAAAAGAAAATATCCTGAAAATCTCAAAAATCCCAAAAATTCAAAAAAAGTTTAAATTTCTAAATTTTCAACAAAAAAAAATTTAAAAAAATTTTTTTTTTAATTTTAAATTTTAATTAAAATTTTATTTTTTTAATTTTTTTTAGTTTTCAGACTAGTCTATCGAGTTCGTATCGTTTTCGTTTATGCCGGCTTTGGCCTCGCCATCATCATCAATTGTTTCGTTTTGATCGTTTTTTTCAAAATTTACAAAAAATCGAAAATCCCGCCGTCAAAAATCGATTCGGATGGAGAAGAAAACGGGAAAAATAATGAGAAACCGGCAGTTAATGGCAGTGGGACCACAGAAACAAAAACGAATTCGGAGAAGAATGAGAAATGAGCAATCTATGACATTTTTCGACTTTTTTTAAACTAAGATTTTAAACGAAAATGAAGATTTTTTTGAAATTTCCAGTTATTGAATGGTCTGGTTCTAGAACGTCACAGTTCTGAAATATCATGGGCCTAGTGTCATTTTAGAACTGTGACGGTTGAGAACTTTTTTGTCATCGAAAAATGGTTGGATGGTTCCAAAATGTCGTAGTTCTAAAACGTCTTTTTTTTCGAGAACGGCGTAGTTCTAGAATGTCACAGTTCTGAAACGTCACAATTCTAGAGCGATCTGGTTCTGATATGTCACAGTTCTAGAACGATCTGGTTGTGAAACGTCGCAGTTCGAAAAAATGTCATAGTTCTAAAATGTCGCAGTTCTAGAATGTCACAGTTCTGAAAATGTCGCAGTTCTAAAATGTCACAGTTCTGAAAATGTCGCAGTTCTAAAATGTCGTAGTTCTGAAACGTCATGGGTCTGGTGTCATTTTAGAACTGTTACGGTTGAGAACTTTTTTGTTATCAAAAAATGGCTGAATAGATCTAAAATGTCACAGTTCTAGAACGATCTGGTTGTGAAACGTCGCAGTTCTGAAACGTCACAGTTCTAAAATGTCACAGTTCTGAAAATGTCACAGTTCTAAAATGTCAAAGTTCTGAAACGTCGCAGTCCTAAAACGTCACAGCTTTGAAGTGCCGCAGTTCTGAAACGTCATGGGTTTAGTGTCTTTTTTGAAAAAATTTCCGAAATTTTCAGAATTTCGGATTTTTTGGAAATTATCGATTTTTGAAATTTTTTTTTGGTTTTCCTGGAAATTTCCAAATTTTCTGAAAAACCTTTTCAGCCAATTTTCAGTCATTATTCTTCATGGAAGAGGGGAATTACAGTATTACAGGAAAGAGCAAAAAAAAGAGACAAAATGACAGATCAAAGAATGAGGCGAAAAGAGAAGGGGGAAATCGGACGTTTCGCAACTATTAACGGGTTCGAAACGTCGTAGGACATTTCGCAACTGAAAACAGTTGCGAAATGTCCTAAGAATAATTATGAAGGAGATGCAAATAGGGAAGAGGAAATGGGTAAAAAAAAACATCAAAAAACATTAATGTCCATTTTAGAACCGCGACGTTTTAGAACCACGAGCAGTTCTAAAACGGATTTTCACAGCAACGAAACAAAAAAAAAGATATAAAATTAGGCGATAAAAAGTCAATTATTTTCTATATAATTATTAAACAAAAGAAATAATTAGTCGGCATTATTAGGCTCCGCCCCTTCCATAGGCTCCGCCCCTTCTCCCGATTGCACAGCCGTCGATTCCACCGTCTCCAGAATCGGCGCTTCAGTCTCTAGACGTGCTTTTTTCGAATCCGGATGATCTCCATTGGCTTCCACCACGTCTTCTGAGTACACTTCTCCGATGAGGTCTTCAGAATCCAGTGGACGTTTTAGAGAGGCTTCTGTAGCGGCGACGGCGACGGCGATGTCTTCAGAAAGTCGATCGATTCCGAGGAACTGAAAAACAGGACATTTCGGAACTGCGACGTTTCAGAACTGTGACATTTTAGAACTGCGACATTTCAGAACCAGGTCGTTCTAGAACTACAACGTTTCAGAACTGCGACCTTTCCGGACCGAGACATTTTAAAACTGTGGCATTCTAGAACTACGACGTTTCAGAACCAGACCGCTCTAGAACTGTCAAGCTTTTACAAAAAAAGGTTCTGAAACGACGTTTCAGAACTGAGACGTTCTAGAACCAGCACCATTCTAGAACTACGACGTTTCAGAACCAGGTCGTTTCAGAACTGCCACATTTTTGATCTATCCAACCATTTTCCGATAACAAAAAAGTTCTGAACCGTCACAGTTCCGAAATGACACTAGGCCAATGACGTTACAGAACTGTGACGTTTCGGAACTGCGAATTTTCAGAACTGCGACGTTTCGGAACTTTGCAGTTTTTTTTTCAGACAGCGCTGGTTTTTAGACCATTCTTTTTTGGATTTTCAAATACAAAAAGTTCTAAAACGTCGCAGTTCTAGAATGACTCTCTTACCTCATGGATTTGATTGAAAGCAATGAGACGATTGAAATGTTGAGCCGAAGACGTCAAATCGTGCTTCTGCTGATCGGTGAGCACATCCAGAACGTTGACTTTTGAAATCTCACACGGGTCCACGAGGATTGCTGAAAAATTGGTATGTTCAAGAAGACATTTCGCAACCGCGACATTTCGCAACTACAGTTCTGAAACGCCCCATGGAACGTGTTCAATGACGCTGAATGTCTAAAACGTTCTAGAACGTCCGAAAAGTTCTAAAACATCGCGAATAGTTCTAAAACGTCACAAACAGTTCTGAAACGTCGCGAATAGTTCTAAAACGTCCTATATAGTTATAAACGTGCAAAAAGTTCTAAAACAGTCAAAAACGTTCTAAAAGTTCTAAAACGTCCTAAGAGTTCTGAAATGTCCGAAAAGTTCTAAAATGTCCAAAACGTTCTGAAAAGTCGCGAAAAGTTCTGAAAAGACCGAAAAAGTTCTACAACGTCCGAAAAGTTCTAAAACGCCCAAGACAATTCTAAAACGTCCGGAAAGTTCTAGAGAGTTCTAGAAGTTCTAAAACGTCCCAGAAAGTTCTGAAACGTCACAAAAAGTTCTATACGTCCAAAACGTTTTGAAACGTCATACATAGTTCTAATACGTCCGAATTGTTCTAAAAATTCCAGAACGTCTCAGAAAGTTCTAAAACGTACGGAAAGGTCGAAAACGGTCAGTAAAGTTCTAAATCGTTCTAGAAAGTTCTAAAGCGTTCTAGGAAGTTCTAAGACGTCCCAGACAGTTCTAAAGCGTCCTAAGTGTTTTAAAACGTCAAAAAAGTTCTAAAACGTCCGAAAAGTTCTAAAGCGTCTCGACAAAGTTCTAAAACGCCCAAAACGTTCTGAAACGGTCAGAAAGTTCTATAACGTCGCGAAAAGTTCTAAAACGTCTCAGAAAGTTCTAAGACGTCCCAGACAGTTCTAAAGCGTCCTAAGTGTTTTAAAACGTCAAAAAGTTCTAAAACGTCCGAAAAGTTCTAAAGCGTCTCGACAAAGTTCTAAAACGCCCAAAACGTTCTGAAACGGTCAGAAAGTTCTATAACGTTCTGAAACGTCGCGAAAAGTTCTGAAGTGTCTCAGAAAGTTCTAAGACGTCCCAGACAGTTCTAAAGCGTCCTAAGAGTTCTAAAACGTTCAAAAAGTTCTAAAACGTGCGAAAAGTTCTAAAACGTCTCGAAAACAGTTCCAAAACGTACCATTAAACAAATATCCGCCAGAAAACGCCTCTAGAACCAATTTCAACGCTTCCGACTGTGTCAACGCGATGCTCGTCGAGCCAATGAGGTTGTGAACGATAAGGTCGAGTTGCTGAAAACGATAATTGGTTAATTAATTGCTTAATTAGCCCAATTATCTATTAATTACATGATCATTGAGCAAACTCCACACGGGGTGTCGAGAACGAGCGTCGCGAAGGAGACGAACGACGGCGAGGAAGCCGAGGAGCGGGCGGCACGTTTGCTGAAATTTTGAAATTTTTCAGAGTCAAAAATTTGTCTGAAAATGGAATTTTTCGTCCAAAATATAGTCGAAATGTGGTCGAAAATCCACATTTTCAGAGTAAAAATAACTGAAAAACCGAATTTTAGTCATTTCTAGGTTAGTTTGAATCGATTTGGGGTCGAAAATTGTCTGAAAATGCGATTTTTAGCTTTAAAAAACTCAAAAAGCCATATTTCTTGAGTAAGAATAGTGCTTTCACACGATTTCCAGCCAATTTTCAGCCGATTTCTTGGTCATTTTCATGAACTTTAACCATTTTTTGGTAATTTTCAGCCGATTTTCCGGACGTTTTGCTCATTTTCAGTAATATTCAGCCAATTTTTAGCAGTTTTTTCAAAATTTTCGGTCATTTCCAGCCGATTTTCCAGACATCTTGGTCATTTTCAGTCAATTGTCAGCCGATTTTAGAGATTTTTTGGCTATTGCCAGCCAATTTTCTGATTTTCTGGTCATTTTTAGCCGATTCTCGAACTTTTTTGGTCATTTTCAGCCGATTTTCAGCCATTTTCATGTATTCGTGACTATTTTTAGCGAATATTCAGACGATTTTCAGCCGATTTTCAAAATTTTTGGGCTATTTTTCGCCAATTTTCAGCCTATTTTCCAGACTTTTTGGTCATTTTCAGCCAATTTTAAGCTCCAAATCCTCACCTCCCACCATCGCTGTCTTCTAACTTGTGTGTTCAAATCGACACACGCCATTTTGTGCGCGAAATCCGATTTGGCCAATTCCTCTTTGTTGGAGAATAGTGAAGTGGCGAGGGATACACGAATTTTGATAGCTGGATTATAGTTGACACTGCCGAGAAGACGAATTGGAGACGTCGGATCGACGTCGAATGAGAATCCGGCGGGCTGAAAATCCAGAGAATTTGAGGAAATTCAAAATTTTTAGATGTTTTCCTAAAAACCGTTTAAATACGTCACAGTTCTAAAATGTCAGTTCTGAAACGTCGTAGTTCTGGAACGTCATGGGTCTAGTGTCATTTTAGAACTGTGACGGTTGAGAACTTTTTTGTCATCGAAAAATGGCTGGATAGTTCCAAAATGTCGTAGTTCTAGAATGGTCTGGTTCTAGAACGTCACAGTTTTAAAATGTTACAGTTCTGAAACGTCGCAGTTCTATAATGCTGCGGTTCTAGATTGTCATCGGTCTGGTGTCATTTTAGAACTGTGACGGTTGGGAACTTTTTTGTAAGCAAGAAATAGCTTAGCGGTTCTGAAATGTCGCAATTCTAGAGCGGTCTGGTTGTGAAACGTAGCAATTCTAGAATGGTCCGGTTCTAGAACGTCATGGATCTAGGAACTAGGGCGTTTCAGAACTTTTTTGTGAAGGCTTGACAGTTCTAGAGCGGTCTGGTTCTGAAACGTCGTAGTTCTAGAATGTCGCAGTTCTGAAACGTCGCAGTTCTAGAATGTCGCAGTTCTGAAATTACACTAAATCCACGACGTTTCGGAACTGTGACATTTCAGAACTGTGACATTTCGGAACTATGATATTTCGGAACTGTGCCATTTCAGAACAGTGACATTTCGTTTTCGATATTTTGAAATACGATTTTTAGCTTATTTTTGGGCCTTATTTCCAGGCCAATGACTTTTTTTCAGGCCAATGACTTTCAACCTATTTCCAGAAGCCTTTTCTACTAATTTTGGGTCTATTTTAAGCCTAATTCTTTGGGACCCATTTTCACGCCTCTCGGGTAGTCCTATTTTTGAGCACTCAGGCCCCAATTTCAGGTCTATTTTGGGTCCAATTTTCTAGGTCTTTGGGCTTCATTTTCAGCCTAATTTTCAGCGATTTCCAGTCCAATCAAGCACAAAATCTCACCTCGGTGACCCCTCTGACCGCCTCCAACACCTTCTTCACAACGTCTTCCGTCGGCACCGGCGTCGTCTGCATCACAAACTCCGCCACCAGCTCTTCATAGCTCAAAAACGTCTTTCTCGCCAGATTCCCAACAAACATGTTTCCCATGACAATCAGCTTTGGGTCCGTTAGGCCATCCGTCTCCATGTATCCAGCACGTTCGGAAACGGCTCGAAACATGCCAAGAAGCTCTCCAATCATTCGTTCCGTTGATTTATAGAACTCCTCGCCCATTTCCAGCGATTTTAGCTTCTCTGTGACGGTGCGTTCGTCGATTATAATCGCCTCCTGGCTAGTGCCAACTGGCGCCGAGAACAAATGAAGGCGTTCCGGGAACACTGTCGGCTGCTCTGACTGCTGCTTCTTGCTCTTCTTCTGACTCGCCGGCTTCGGATCCACCACTAGGCTCGAGTCCACCTTTGTCTTATAAGCCATCCGATGTCTTCGACCCTTGACATGAACATCCTTGGCGTTGGGATCCGAGAATTTACAATCGCAAAGTGTGCAATTGAACTGGGTTAGCTTTCCAGTGGCATCCCGTTCCTCTAGAACATAATCCAGCCCCACTGCTTGCACCTCCTCGGCTCTCATCATTTCGCGCACTCTCTCGTCCTCTACTTCGATCTCTGCAGGTGGCGTGGATTTTCCGACGGAGCTCACTGCCAGCGCGACTTCTCGCTTCTTCTCTTCGAGTTGGCCGGTGGAGTTGAGCTTGTGACCACCGACGAATTGCACTGTGTTGATGCCAACCACTCTGGAAAAATTTCATTTTCAGCCAATTTTGGCCATATTTCCGCTAATTTTCTGACGATTTTGAGTCATTTTCAGCCTGATTTCAGTCAGTTTCAGGACAAAAAATCGGTTTGGAAATCGAATTTTTGGGTTTTTGAGTCATTTTCAGCTATTTTTTTGGTCATTGTCAGCCCTTTTGGTAAATTGAGTAGTTTAAATGAATCATTTTCAACTGAGTTTGGGTCATTTTGGACCATTTCAGTGTAATTTCGAGCTATTTCTGAGTCACTGCCAGCCAATTTCGATTCATTTTCAGCCAAAATTTCCCCCGATTTTTAAGCCACTTCCAGACGATTTTCTAAGAGCAATTTCAGCCAATTTTAGTTAATTTTGAGTCATTTTCAGCAGATTTTCAGCCAATTTTGGGCCGTTCCCAGTTAATTCCGAGCCATTTTCAGCTAATTTAGGTCATTTTTCAGCTAAATTTAAGTAATTTTCATCCGATTCTGAGTCATTTTCGATCATTTCTGGGACACCTTCAACCGATTTGGGGTCATTTTCCAGCCCTATTTCAAGTTTTTTTCAACTAATTTTTAGTCACCTTCGGTAAATCCTGAGTCATTTTCAGCCAATTTTCAGTAATTTTTAACCGATTTCAGGACTATTTTCAGTTAACTTGGCTCATTTCTAGCTAATTTTTTGTCAATTTTCGCCCGACTTTTTCTGTCATTTTCAGATAATTTGGGGCTTTTTTTCATCAAATTCTGAGTCATTTTCAGCCAATTTAAAGTCATTTTCAGCCTATTTCAATCTAGAAAACCGCTCACTTCTTGCCTCCCGGCAACGAATGCTGATGCCACTTGGGTTTGGCCTTCGTCTCAATCGGTCCATCGGCTCCCGGAGCAATAATCGTCGGCACGTCTTCAGGCACATATTTGCCCAGCTTCCGATGCAAACTCGCCGTCTTCTGATGCTTTCCACCCTTCACATGTGCCATATAGGTGTCTTGTCCCGTACATGTCACATTGCACAGCTCACAACGATACGTTAGCTTGTTTTTGGCCAGACTCGACACGGGGGTACCTTTTTTCAGCGATTCCTCGCGCTTTTTGTGATTCTTGCCATCGAGATGCTCTTTGTAGGTGATGCCGCCGGCGCACGAGATTTTGCAAGTCTGGAAATGTGGGAAAAATTGGATTTTGAGCTATTTTTCAGTTATTTTGAGTCATTTAGAGCTATTTCGGGCTGATTCCTGGTCAATTTTGAGCGATTTTCAGCTATTTTGAAGTCTCTTTAAGGCAAATTTGAGTCATTTCAAGCTAATTTTAGATCATTTTTGAGCCATTTTTGGGCTATTTCAGCAAATTTGGGACATTTCCAACTAATTTTGGGTCATTTACAGTCAATTTCGAGTCGTTTTGAGCTATATTTGAGCCATTTTCAGCCAACTTTGGTTCATGTTCAGGCTATTTTAGGGTCATTTTCAGCTAATTTTGGACCATTTTTTGAGTCATTTTGAGCAATTTCTAAGCAAATTTTTCGCCTTTTTCAGCTTTTTTTCAGCCATTTTCGGGCCATTTCAGCAAATTTGGGACATTTTCAGCCATTTTCAGCGAATTTTGAGTCATTTTGAGCCATTTTTAGTACATTTTTAGCAATTTCGGGCTATTTTTGAGTCATTTTGAGTCATTTTTGATTCATTTTTAGCGATTTTTCACTTTAAGGGTTTCAATTTGAGTTATGTTGAGTTATTTTTTAGTCATTTTAAGCCATTTTTGAGCCATTTTCAGGCAAATCTGAGTGATTTAAAGCTAATTATGGGTCATTATCAACTGAATTTGGGTCATTTTCAGCCAATTTCGGGTCATTTGGGTCATTTCAGTGTGATTTCGAGCTATTTCTGAGTCTTTTCCAGCTAATTTCGGACCATTTTCAGGCAATTTCATGGTCATTTTGAGCCGTTTTTGGTACATTTTGAGCTATTTTTGATCGTTTTCAGCTAATTTTGAGACATTTAGAGCTATTTTTAAGACATTTTCAGGCAACTTTGAGTAATTTAAAGCTAATTATGGGCCGTTTCCAGCTAGTTTTGGGTCAATTTTTAGCCATTTTCAGACAGTTTAGATTCACTTTGAGCTAATTATGAGCCATTTCCAGGTAATTTCGCGCTCTTTCCAGGCAATTTTAAGTCATTTTTTAGCAATTAAAAATCGTTTTTTCAGGGTTCTGTCCTTCAGGCAATTTTGAGCCCTTTTGGAGTCATTTTCAGCTAATTTTAGGTCAGTTAGAGCTATTTTTAGGTCATTTCAAGTCAATTTCGGGTTAATTCTCGGATTTTTAAAGCGTTACCGGGGTTATTTTCAGCGAATTTAAACGCTTTCTCAAGGCTACAACTCCCCAAAATCTTCCGGCGTGATTTTCAGCTATTTTTAAAGGCTTTTTTGAGAACGCACATCACAATAATACTCCTTGTTGTCTCCACTCGACGGCTTCCCGTATCTGACTCCGCCCCCTCCCATGGCTCCGCCCCCTCGCTGTTGATGCTGCTGCCACGTGGATTTCGTTGACGACGCGGTCGTCTGTTGAGCGTAGTTGTAGACAGCCGCGTCGTAGCCATTGAAGCCGGCGGAATAGTCTGGAAATGGACTTTTAGGCCAAAAAACCCCAAATTTTCCAAATTTTACCGTTCTGCGCGGCTCCTGCCTTCTTGAAATATGCACTTGGCGCTGTGACACTGCCCTGTGATGGGAATGAGGAGAAGTTGGCGGCGGTGTAGTCTGTGGAAGGGACCTAAAACTATAATTTTCAGATTTTTTTCAGAAAATCCTCGTACCGGTGGTGGTGGAGGTGGTGGTGGAAGTGCTGCAGCTGCTGCGAATCCATAATTGGCATATGGGTTGACGCCTCTGGAAGGAAAAATGAAATTTCAAAAAAAAATTTTTTTTTTTTTTGTTTCACAGAATTTCTTTATCAAAACTCACTGATAATATGGTTGTTGTTGCTGCTGTTGATACGTATTCGCCGCGGCGGCCGAGTATTGCTGATTTCCGTAGGCGGCGCTGAAAAGCCTTATTTTTCATCGATTTTTCATGGGTAAAGCTTACCCATAAGCACCCTGATATCCTCCATACATTATTACCTGAAAATTAGAAAAAAAATTTGGTGAAAATCGATGAAAAATAAGGAAAATAGAAGGAAATTGGTGGGAAAAAATGCGAAAAAATTTTTGAGTGCGGTGGAGCGCGTTTGCACCAGTAAGAGGGAAATTCGATTTTTTTTCGCTTTTTTCGGGGAAAAAGCGAGAAAAATGTCGTTTTGAGGTGAAAAATCTTTAAAAACAGGGTTTAAAATTGAAAAAAATTGTAAAAATTAGGCTTAGAAAGCTGAAAAACATTGAAAAATCTCGAAAAACAAGAAAAATAAGAAATTCTAAGGGAAGTTATGAAATTTGTTTTTTTTTTCCTGGAGAAGAACCAATGGAGACGAAAAAAAACTTTTAGACCATATCCTTTTTTTCGAAAAATCTTGAAAAAAAATATCTGGAAAAAAATTCTGAAAAACAATTTTTTGGTCACCTGAAAAGTTGTTTTTGTCTGAAAATTTGTCTGTAACATTTTTCAATTTTCCTTAAAATTCTACAGTATACCAAACAAAACTAGCGCTTTATTTTTGTAGTTGACACCTTTTTAGCTTCTCATCCTGGGGAGATATGCCACCTAGAATTTGAAAAGTTTTAAACTCCCGCCTCTTTCCACAAGCCATATCTCGTTAGAGCGTGTTTGCACAAAAAAGTTGTCAACTACAAAAGTGAAGCTCTAGTTTTGTTCAGTACACTCTGAAATTTTCAGATCAATCTGGAATTGGTAAAGTGCTTTTGTAGGACCTCAATTTTCTAATTCACATAATTTAGGTCCCTCCGGATTTCCAAGTGTCCCGATGTCCACTATACTATTAAGAAGTGTCTTGTATTACTTTTAAATTGCAAAAAAGTGTTTCCCCTCTCCCGCTCGTTACAACAAACCCATTCATTTTCCGACTCATTTCGGTTCTACTCATTTCTTTCTCTGCGTCTCTCTTACCCTCTCACTCTCTCGCCTTCTCTCACTTTCATTGCTCATTTTTGTGTAAAAATGAGTGAGAGGACCCTTTGCTGTTATCTCTCATCACTTTAGCAATTTGATAGCAGCAGCGAATCGATTTAAATTTACTAGAACTAGTTGATAATTGATAAGGAATCTGAAATTGGAAATTTCAGCAGTTTCTAGTACCTTAACTTTTTGTAAAAACTATCTAGTTGAATTTTACATTTTGTGAAGATCCTGTGGATTTTTTGATTTTCCCAAAAAATCCAAGTTTGAAGCGTTTTAGATTCATTTTACTGCAAATTGAGCTAAAAATGGGAACCTATTTTTTTTTGAAACTACCGTATCTTGCTTAATTTTAAAGATAGACAGTTTTAATATACTGATAAAATGTGTAGAATTTTATGAAAAATATTTTTGTAGTGAACCACTTTTTGTTAACTATTTTAGTTTTTGAGATATGCGCCTTTAAAGTTCAGTAGTGAAGGGGCGAGGCACAGAGTAGTCATACCTTCTTGTTTCTCTGCGTCTAACTTTCTCGGTTTGAAAGCTAGAACATTTTGGTAAACTAACAAAATGTGTAGAATTTTATAAAAAACAATGTTGTGGTTAACAACTTTTGGCTAACTATTTTGGTTTTCGAGATATGCGCCTTTAAAATCTCATCGGGCGGGAGGACGCAGAGAAGCCCTACCCTCTCGTTTCTCTGCGTCTAACTTCTTCAGTTTTTAAGCTAGATTAATTTTGTAAGTTGAAAAATAGTGTAAAATAAAGACAATTATTTTTACAATTGACAACATTTTGCTAGCTTTTTTGGTTTTTGAGATATGTGCCTTTAAAGTTTCCTTGGGCGGGAGGACGCAGTGAAGTGAGGCGGTCTCGTTTCTCTGCGTCTAACTTCCTCGGTTTTAAAGCTAGACAACTTTTATAAACCAAAAAAATATGCTTAATTTTATAACAAATATTTTTGTAGTTAGCAATCTTCTGCTAGCTTTTCTTGTTTATGAGATATGCGCCTTTAAAGGTAAGAGGTGCGCGCGCTTTCTCGTTTCTCTGTGCTCTCTTTCTTCATTCATATCTCGCGAACCAAAAAATATATCAAAAAGCTGCAAATTAAAAAAATGTGTAAAATTCTACAAAAAATATTTCCCTAGTTAAAAACTTTCTCCTAGCTACTCTGGTTTTTGAGATTTTTGACAACCTTTTCTATTTTTTTTTGACAACCTTTTCTAGTCACCCATGTTTATTTTCCCCCCACTCGCCCCCCTTTATGCTCGGTGTGCATATGATAATTACTTCTCTTTGTGATAATAATAGGTTGCTGATAAGGAAAAGTTCTTTTTCGGTGAGAGAATGGTTATAAAATTGCCGGAAATGACAATTTTTGGAAGGAAAAAAAAATGGAAAAATCGTTTTTTGGCAATTTTGAAAAATCTAAAAGTTATTAGTTATTTTTGGACACAAAACTCCTAATTTTCCGTATTTTGACTATTTTCTCACGAATATCCTTTTGTTCTGTTTGCCTATAAAATTCCCCATTTGTCTTTTTTTCTGCAAATAGATCTTTTTTTCCCCCATTTGTTCATTTATCCCTTTTTTTGAAATTCATAGCTTTTCTATTAGTATTTTTCTCAACAAAAAAAAAAACTGTTTTTCATGAATTTTAAACATAATTCTGATGCCAAAACCATTTTTTTTTAAATTGAAAATTTGAAACCAAATTAAAGGAGGCGAGACAGCGAAAATTTCGGGGGACAGTTCGGGGGTCGAAATCGCGCCGCGCTTATGTAGACCATCGGTCGTCAGGCGCCTTCGCGCCCCCGTAGCTCAGCCGGTAGCGGCGCTGTACCCCTGAGCTGCCTGTCATGAGCTCAACCCCTCATGGGAGTTCTCTATGCAAAATATCAGGAAAACTTTTTTTTGTGGTGTCTGGCCTCCTTTAAGAAAACAGAGAAAAAAATAAAAAACTTTCTGAAATTTAAAATCTAGCTAAATCTATTTATATTTTTGGGATTTGTCTAAAATTTCAGAGTGTACTGAACAAAACTAGAGCTTCAATTTTGTAGTTGAAAACTTTTTTCTAAATTTAGGCCCTGAAGAGATATGCCACCTGGAAGTGTGTCGATCTTTTTTGACAAGAACCTTTAAGCTAAAGTCATTTTTTCAAATGATCATATCTCGGTTATTTTTTAACCAAATTTTATGAAATTTAAATTTTCAAATTTAGCTCTTTTTCAGCTTTAAAATTAATATTAAAATGCTAAATAATTTCAAATTTTCCCGGCTGAGCTACACGGTTACATGCGCCTGCTGCCTGGGCAGCAGTGCCGACAAGGTGGCGCGTTTTTTCAGACCTCGAAAAAGAGCGTAGGATTTGTGCAATTTGTCTGAAAATTGTAGAGTATATCAAACAAAACTAGAGCTTCATTTTTGTAGTTGACAGTTTTTTACAAAAATTAGGCCCTGAGGAAATATGGCACGTGGAAGAGCGGACCCCTATTGCCAGTGGGATGGATGGCTCTCAAAATCGATCGCAACTTTCTTCAAACTCAATATTTCTAGAAAATTAAAAATGCAAAATGTAGGATTTAAAAAGTTCTACAGAATGACATACATTTCGTTGTGCTGCCTATAGCATGACAGGTTTAGGACCACGGTGACCCGCGCATCTAATCCCGCCCCTTTTAGCGCACCCCATCAAATGACTCTCTGTATGTCCCGATGTCCCCTTTTGCTCTCCGGAACCTTCCATGTCCTCTCCTTCACATTCTTCTTCATCTTGTCACTTCTGTCACTTTGTATACATGTAACTCTTCCCTTTCTTTCCCTCAAGGTACCCTGTCCCATTGAGCCTCTCTCTCTCTCTCTCTCTCTCTCTCTCTCTCTCTCTCTCTCTCTCTCTCTTTTCCTTTCCACTACCAACTAACATTTTCCAACAAAAACATTCGTGAATGGCACCACACACATGGCCATTAGTAATTCATCATTTTTTCGAATGGTGCCTATTCTCTGCGTCTCTCTGGCTCTCACACTCTCTCACCTCTCTCATTTCCCTTCTTTCTCCCATTTTATCTCCTTTTTGAGCAGCACATCCCATCACTGTTTTTATGATGGCTCCGTTTTGGAATTGAAAAACTGAAGAAGGGAGAACGATGATACTTTTTTTTTTGGGAATGTTGTCTCTTTGAGTTTAAAGGCGCATATCTCCAAAACCGAAATAGTTAGCAAAAATTGTTAACTACAAAAATATTTGTCTTAAAATTTCACATATTTTATTAGTTAACTAAAATTGGTTATCTTTCCAATTAAGTGAGTTAGACTCAGAGAAACGAGACCGCCTCTCTTCTCTGCGTCTCTGCCACCCACGGAAACTTTAAAGGCGCATATCTCAAAAACCTGAATAGTTAGCAAAAAATTGTCAACTGCAAAAATATTTGTTATTAAATATCACATATTTTGTTAGTTTAAAAAAACGGTCTAGCTTTGAAATTGGGAAAGTTAGACGCAGAGAAAGAAGAGGGTATCGCTTCTCTGCATCTCTTCCACCCAAGGAAACTTGAAAGGCGCATATCTCGAAAGCCAAAATAGCTAGCTAAAAATGATAAATTACAAAAATGATTAACAATATATTTGACATGTTTTAATTTACAAAATTTGTCTATCATTGAAATTGAGTGAGATACTGTAGTTTAAAAAGTAGACACGCTTCTTCTTGCCCCTCTCTCTCTCTCTCTCTCTCTCTCTCTCTCTCTCTCTCTTTCAAAATAACGCAGCTGAAAATACGATGACGAGGAAAATGGGTTTAGTTAGCAAGTCATTAACACCCCTATTTTCCAATTCTAGAATCCAATTTCGAAATGCTCCCTTTTTTCCATGCGCCTTTAAAATGAGCGGGGCTTATTTAGCGTTAGATTTTGCACTAGAAAAAAAATGGTCAACTAACAAAATGTGTGAAATTATATAACAAACATTTTTGTAGTTGAAAACTTTTTGCTAGCTAGTTTGGTTTTTGAGCTTTGCGCCTTTAAAGTTTGGGAGAGACGCAGAGAAG